TTTTTTTTTTAGTGTTTACCGGTAACTGTAGATGTTTCTATTCTATAAAACTGAAATAAATTACTCTTTTTATAAATGCTTTTATGTGGTTAAAAGTTATAGAATTTTTTTTACCAATTCAGGTGTGTTTTACAAGTTGTTGCAATTTTTTCCAGATTACACGCACAAGATCTGTACCTGATTTAACCTCGTATATCCGAGCAAGCAGCAAATATAAACCACAGTGGCCATATCGTTACTATAGAGACTGGGATCTGGTAGGTACTGTTGTAGATTCCAATGCAAAAAACATTAGCATTTAGCAGTTTTCTTGTACCAAAATCACAACCAGTTATAGTCAGTGCTCTGTTATGACCTTTTTTTGCTCTTTTTTGACGTTGGTGAATAAAATTGCCAAGGCACAGCGACATTACGGTATACTACAAATACCATACAAAATTAATAAAGGAAAAAGGAATATTAGATCAGTGTAATAAATCTTTTAAAATTTGATCGACAGAACTCTGTAATTTTGAGATTTATTCATAACAATAAATTAGTAGCTAGTAGTTTTTAACGTTTTAATATCTTATTTCCTCTCTGAAATCAATTATTAAAAACCTAGTAAAAATTGAAAAAGGCAATTTGAAGCATTCGATGATTTTTTGTTGGTGTAGTTAACAGTGGCAGTAAGGAGCAAGAAAAGGTTGTTGTTAGTTGGCATAACAGTTCCACAATATCAAATCTTTAGATTTTTTCATCATCTGAATAAATTCTGTAAAATTTTTACCGTTTTGTTTCGCACAGCTGTAAAGAAAAAGCGATAAAGTGGAGAAAAATTATTGTATTACTTTTATATTTTAACACTTAAAATTTCTACAATCAAAAATTTATTGTTATACCATGAGATAAAAATGTAATGTACGTATTTAATTTTTTAAAAGTTAAACTCACTTGTACTTATGCGATGATATCTGAATATTTCTAGAAGAAGATTTTTTGCTTTTCAAACTATTAATGTAGGAAATATTATTGTCTAAAAATCTGTTTCATTGTCGCTATATTGTTTAACAGATATAAGAATGACCGGCAGACAACTTGCAACATCACCATATAAACACCTCTAACCGTTTGTTCTACTCACAATTTTAACAGCTGATCAAATAATGTTCAGTTAGAATTAAACTTCTTTTGAGCTATCAAAAAAGTTTCTCAGTTTTTCTTTCTTATTTTGGAAATTTTCAACCGTGATAGCAATGGTTACTTAGATATGGCTAAACAGTAATTTTTACAGTCAATCCAAACTACAAAAAAATCTTCTTATTCTTCTTTTTGCTTCAACATTTGATGAATCATCTCAAATACCAATTCCAAATTTTAATTTGAACTTCTGTAAAGATTTCTAAACTTAGTAATTTAATGCTTGAGCATAAACTTTTGACGGCTTTTAAAGCATCAAGTTTAAACAAGATAATTTAGAAACCGAACTTAAGCTAACTATTATTAGAGAACTGTTATTAGGTAGAGATTTAGACAAATAATCTTGGAAATTATTTATTTATTAACATAGCTAATTGGTTTCCAAATTTAGTACGATGACTATTGGTACGACCGTTACTATTACTTCAGTCCACTGTACAAAAGCACATTGTACCCAAGACGATATTACTACAGCGACTACCTCCCAAATCCCTACTACTGGAGCTCACCGTACACCAACTATTGGGTCAGATACAAAGGATATTGGTACTGTATATGCTATTCTGCCTTTATTCGCTTTCCCATATGTTTTAGCACTGAAATACTGCATTACTTTTTGAACACCACCTTCACATTCGTTATGAATACGCCATATAACTGAATACAGTAAATAATCAACTACTGAATTGAAAAAATATACTGCTTTTTACCAGTTCTTGATAGACAGACCATCAAGAAAATTTCAGCTCCAGAAAGCAAGAAATTACGGCAATTAATTTTAGGTATGATTACGACTATCCATCCTACTATCGCCGTTACTATGACCCCACTTATGGCATGTACCTGAAATCCATCTACACTCCGTATCGTTCATATCTGATTGACAGTTTGAGTAACTCGTTTTCAAACGCTCTGTCTATGTATCGCCAAGGACTTATACCTTATTCATCATTAGACCGCTACTGGTTGACGCCGTCATACTGGGATCGTCGATTTAAGGTGATTTTTCCAAAGACTGCTGAAACCTTAATGAGTCATCTTCAAGGTCTTGTTTTTTGGACTGGTGACGACAAACGAATGGTCTTTAAAAAAATCTAACAATTCCTGAACGTGGACCGATTTTTAGGATTGGCGTGATCTGTACTCGTGGGATCGCGACCGATATTACATCCCGTCATATTACGATAGAAGGCTAAGAAGCTACTATACGCATTGGTCCTAAAGCAGATATGCTTAATAAAGCAATATGCCACATTAAATTTGTAAATGCTTGTATTACAGCCTTGTATAAGATATCCTTTCATTAAGAAGCTGCCAATAAAGTCTTTTCATTATATAGGTACTGTTTTTTCGAAATCATTAAAACTCTACTATTAGCATTACTAATATTCACAGACCGATAAGCAAGAAAAAAAAAAACAAGAAAAAACAGTGCCATTAAATTTAAGGTAAAAACTCTAGTCAGTCAGACTGCTTTGCAGATAAATTTGCAAGCCATAGTGTTTCAGCGTACAGATCTGTCAAAACGTGTGCATCTACAATGTGTTACTGTACTTGTAGTGTCTTGATACATAATTTTTTGTCAGAATTCAGAGAGATTATCAGGAAGGCATCAAAGTACAGTTATTAAGGTGTACAATATAAGTTAGTGGAATTTAGGAAACAACAAATGACGGTTATTTTTTCTGTTTTGCTTTTACTGCAAACGAGTAAACATGCAAACAAAAACATTTGGTTTAATTATTTGTGCTGCTGAAGCGAAATAATAAACAGATAGAAAGGAACAAAATTTATCTTTCTCATAGCGTCTATCAGTATTTCAAGTTTGAATGACAGAGATCAATCCATTGCATGATTAAATTTAAAAATCTAAATTTTTTTTGCGATTTACACGAGACCTGAAACACATTTCAAGCACTCATATTCGGTTTTAAAATTATCAGTTAACTGAAAATACAGTAGAAAAAAGTTCAAAATGATGAGAGCACTTACTTGAAAGCAAGAAAAAACATTAAAGGCAAAAGTGAAATAAAAGATTAATTTTTTTCTGAACTATGCGAAAAAACACCCATTTTTAAATTTTACAAAATTCTTAGAAACCATCGGTATTACGTGGTGGAGATGTCTATGATTTTTTGTTGTATTATGTCGAACGTGTTGTGGGGAAAGAGTATTTCCTTTGAAACTGTCGAGAAACTACCACAAATAATAGCAGCAACATTGAATAGATACAAAAAACCACTACAACCTGATATATCACTTTAACATTTCTGATACTACCACTCCACTCTTCCCTTATACTCTCCTTCCCCTCTCCTCTCTATTAACTTTTAATAGAAACTTCAACAATTAGTCAGTTTTTTGTTCCACACAGTTGTGTTCAAGATTCCAGTAATAAAGAAAAAAAGCATTTTTTTATCATCTTATTATCTTTTTTTTACTTTATCGTTTATTTTGTTTTATTTTGCTGCTTTTCTATTTGCACATCCAATAATACCGTGATTTGAACAGCTGGTGAAAACTGACTTTATTTGCTTCAAAAAAAAAAATTTATTTGGAAAAACTAACAGTTCTTTTATTGAAAAAGAATGCTTTTCTTTTCTGTAATAATCAGAGTTCCGAAGAAATAATTTAAATGGATGGTTAAAAATTAAGCATCAATTTTTTGTTTACTTAAAAGAGAACCATAAATTTGACTCAAGTTATGGCACTTCGACTCTTCTGTCGGTATTCACATGTATGATGATTATTGCTTTTAATTTATCAAAAGCCACTAAATGTTACTACTTCTAATTTATTGAATTTACAAAAACAGTTTTGTCTATGTCATCTCAGGTAGAATAGTAAGGTTGTTTTTTTATTTTCGCCATATTCCTAAACAACAAAAGAGATAATCAAAGAAAAAAATTGGAAAGTAATTACTGGATTATCATGTTATTACTGTTTTTGGATTTTTTTCGCGCCACAATTAAACTATTTTTTCTCAGTAAACAGGTATCTCTTAAAGAGACAGATAATTGGAAGGAATGAGCACTGGAGCTGTTGTCTCGTTGTAGCTTTAAGTGTGTTGTTGTATCTGTGTGCATAGAACTGCAGAAGAATTAATCAAATGAGAATGGTTTTTAGCTTTGATGCTAAAATAAAGCTAGCATTGTATATATCCCGAAGTGCTTTAGACGAAGTGTTGTTGTTTCGCAGCCAGCCGCTCAGGCTTAACCGATTTGTAACGGAAACAACAACAACGAGCAAGAAAAAAAAAACACTGACTGCGGAGGAGGCTCGTGACCCTGTAGGAACCATCGTCATCATCATTGTCTACTGCAGCGATAGCACCACCATCAACAACAGCAGTAGCAGCAGCAGCACCGACAACAGCAACAACGACAATAACAACAACAACAACAACAACAACAACGTTACCGCCGCCATTAGCACCAACAGCAACGGCAACATTTTCAGTCGTCTCAAAATCCGCTGATGATTGTTTTTCAAGTTCGTTAAAATTTTTTTTGCCAAATGATTCGTTCAAATGTTGTTGTCTGGTTGGTGCAACAAAAGTTATAGGAACTTTTCGTGTCGATCTTTTCAATGAAGAAAAAGATAGGGGGCGAAAGGGGATTTTTATTGTCACTACTATTCAACATAATTTGTTTGAGTTTAGCACATCACTTTCATCTCTATATACTTATCGCTCGTAAAAGTTTAGTAATTTGAAAACTTTACTGAAGCTGATTTTCTTGCCTGTCTGTAATATTAACATACAACTGAAATGTGTGTTTCAAATTTTGCAGCGATTGATTATTTTTGATGGTCATATAATAAGGATACTGTTGCTGTTATTGCCGCTCTGTTTGAGTGTTGCTGTCGATGTTGTTGGACGGTGAAAGGTGTTATTCATAGTAATAATAGCGGTAATAAAGACGGTGATGAGGAAGCTGACGATGAAAAAAAATTCTTACGGGATAAATTCCACTAACAAGATACACTGACTGTAGTCGAACAGTAGAATTTTCATCAAATTTTCCATTAGACAGTTTACGTTTTGCCTCACAACTGTATACTTTTCATTACCACCTTAGTTTCGTTATTTTCTCCCTCTTTCCCCCTCTCTCCCCCTTCTCCTTCTTCGTTTCTTTCTTTCTTTCTTTCTTTCTTCTCCCCTTCCCGCACCTTAGCGTTTTCCACGCCACGTAAACACTATTCATGGATTCTGTCCAGCAGTGATTACTGTTTAAAAATGTTTACGTCATTATAGTGTTCTGTATTAGACAGTATATTTTAAAAGTACCCTCTTTTTTTCCCTCATTTGTTGACTCGTGCTTTAAATACTGAGTTTCCTTTTTTCTGTTCAGCGTTCCTTTTTCCTTTCTTAATTCTTTGCTCTTTTCCCCAGTTAAACTATCTTCCCCTAAAATCCTCCATTTTTCGGCTAATCGCTGTTTCTAGTCTTTTAGCTAAAATAAAACGTAAACTTTAAGGTAAATAGTTTGGTCATTCAAAAGGTTACGTACCTGAGAAGTATGTCCATATAGCTCATAGGTGTTTGCT